CCAGTGATGTACTTGTACATCACTGGATTTGAATGGTTATACCAGGATGATGCCTACAGCAGCAGGCATCATCCTGGTGTCGTTTCTTTTCAGCCGTTGATCGGATTTCATGTAAAAGCAATCCTAGTGGCTAATTAGCTGCAAGATTGCTTTTACAAGCAGTGGGAGATTATATCCCCCCTCCCCCGCTGCCTTCCACAGCCTGCTCGGGCAGTCCCGTGCCATCAGGGGAACCTGAGAATGCAGCCGTTGTTTCTGCCAGCTGACCATAGAGCTGATTGGAGACCAGAATGGTGCCAATCATCTCTATAGTCTAAGAATTCGGAAGCTACAAGCATTTCATCACTTCAGTTTCGCAGGATATAAACAACGCCGTTTGTAAATTGGGAAAGCATCTGATCACACCGATTTTGGTTTGATTAGATAATGTAAGGGCAGAGGAGATATCTAGAGTCTGATAGACCCCAGATTTCTCAAAAAAGAATATATGACAATGCCCATTGAAGTTATAGGGGTTATTTGCATTCCCTGTTATAGCATTAAAAATGATATAAAAAAAATATATATATATGAAAGGTACAATGTAAAAATAAAAAAAAATCAAAATAACTAAAAAAAAAAAAAAAAATTGCTCCTCCCATGCGCACACACCTGTGTGCACAAGCCTTGACCCTGTGCCGTTATGTAAACAGCGGTTGCACCATGCATGTGAGGTATTGCCGTGAACGTCAGATCAAGGGCAGTAATTCTAACAGTAGACCTCCAATGTAAATCTAAAATGGTGGCTTTTTAAAGGCTTTTAAAGCGCTGCCTATGGATATTAAAAATGTTTGCAGTTTGTCGCCATTGAACGGGGCATGCGCAGTTTTAAAGCATGTCATGTTTGGTATCTATTTACTCGGCATACCCTTATCTTTTATATTTTACCAAACCAATATATTGGCCAATATATTGTGTTTTTGTGCATTAAAAGTAAAAAAAGTGTATTTTAAAAAAAAAAAAAATAGCGTTTGAAAAAATCGCTGCGCAAGTACTATGTGCCATAAAAAAATTGTAGTATCCACCATTTTATTCACTAGGGTGTCTGCTTTAAAAAAAATATATGTTTGGGGGTTTAAATTAATTTCCTAGCAAAAAAATACTGATTTTTTTCATGTGAACAAAAAGGCTTGGTCTTCAGGTGGTTAGAAGAGTGAATGATGTGTGGCATAAACTTCTAATGCTGGGCATAAAACGCCCCCCCCCCCAAAATGACCCCTTTTTGGAAAGTAGTCACCCCAAACTATTTGCTGAAAAGAATGTTGAATCAATAGAAGAATTTATTTTTTTTACCACAAGTTTTTGGAAAATGACAAAAATAAATATATATATTTTTTTTTTACACAAAATTGTCACTTAAATGATTTACTGCTCACACATGCCATGGTTATATGTGGAATTACTCCCCAAAAATACATTTTGCTACTTCTCCCGAGTATGGGGGTACTACATGTGAGAGACGTTTTGGCAGTCTAGCCAAGTACAGGACCCCAAAATCCAATAAGCACCTTCAGGCTTTTAAAGGGCTTTATTTCCTCATTACACTTCCAGACTACCTATCACAGTTTCGGAGGCCATGAAATGCCAGGATAGCACCTAACCCCCCCAAATTACCCCTTTTTGGAAAGTAGACGCCCCAAGGAATTTGATAAAATGCACGGTAAGTATTTTGCAGATCTCATTTGTTGCCACAAGTTTTTGGAAAATGAAGAAAAAAAACAAAAACATTTTTTCTATTTTGTTTATATTTCAAAACCTTGTGAGAAAAAATTAAATCTGCAAAATACTCACCATGCCTCTTTTTAAATTCCTTGGGGTGTCTACTTTCCAGAAAGGGGTCATTTGGGGGGGTTTGGGGCTATCCTGGCATGTCAGGGCCTTCGAAACTGTGATAGGTAGTGAGGAAGTGTAATGAGGAAGTTACGCACCTTCAGGCTTTCAAAGTGGTCATTGGATTTCAGGCTCCTGTATGTGGCTAAGCTTCCAAAAAGTCTCACACATATGGTATCCCCATACTCAGTAGAAGTAGCAGAATGTATTTTGGGGTGTAATTCCACATATACCCATGGCTTGTGCGAGAAATAAATCATTTAAATGACAACTTCGTGTAAAAAGAAAAAAAAGAAGTTTTTGTCATTTTTCAGAAACTTGTGGAAAAAAAATAAATCTTCTATGGACTCAATATGACTCTCAGCAGATAGCTTAGGGTGTCTAATTTCCGAAAAGGGGTGATTTGAGAGTGTTTGTACTATTCTGGTATTTTAGCACCTCAAGAAATGTGATGGGCAGTCAGAAAGTAAAAGCTATGTAAATTCCATTATCTATACCATAGTTTGTAGACGCTATAACTTTCACAAAAAGCAATCAATATACACTTATTGGGATTTTTTTTAACCAAAAACATGTAGCAGAATACATTTTGGCCTAAATTTATGATGAAATTTTAGTTTTTTTAGATATTTTTTTATGACCAAAAATGAGAAAATATTGTTTTTTTTTTAAAAAAAAAAATTTTTTTCTTCAAAACCTTTTCTGGTTATAGCGCCAAAATAAAAAAGTGCACAGGTGATCAAAGACCACCAAAAGAATGCTCTATTCATGTTAAAAAAATCTCATTGTACCGTATTGCATGACCAATTGTCCGTTAAACTAGTGCAGCACTATATAGCAAAAAAATGTTGTAAATTGCAGTATCTATACCATAGTTTGTAGACGCTATAACTTTCAGACAAAGCAATCAATATACACTTATTGGGATTTTTTTTACCAAAAACATGTAGCAGAATACATTTTGGCCTAAATTTATAACTAACTTTGAGTTTACTATATATTTTTTATAGCTGAAAGTAAAAAATATCGTTTTTCTTCAAAATATTTGGTCTTTTTTTGTTTATAGCGTGAAAAATAAAAAGCGCACAGGTGATCAAATACCACCGAAAGAAAGCTCTATTTGTGTGAAAAAAGGACATAAATTTCGTTTAGGTGCAGCATTGCATGACCGCGCAATTATCAGTTGAATTAGTTCAGTGCCGAGTAGCAAAAAGAGGCCTGGTCATTAAGGGGGGTAAATCCTCAGGAGCTCAAGTGGTTAAGAGCTCTAATCATGAATTGAGCTTGATGTAGTAAATAGCAACGATTGGTATAAATGTCTATGGACAAAGGCAAAAGGATGGCCCATAGTAAGAATCCTGCTCTATAGGAAGGGAAAGGGACTGGTTGATTCAGTTGGCACTGCTATATCTTGATCTGTAACTGTATATCCTGTGGTCAGTTAAATGTACTCCAGATGTATTCCAACAATGGCGCTGGTATAACTAGGCCGCAAAATAGGGCAACTGTATGTAATGTTCACAACTATGTGCAGGTAGATAACCGAGGTGATGAACTATCAATGTTCACTTTGTTAGTGGATGCATGGGTCTCTCTCACCCAATCAATGTGGTTTGGCGGATTGCTACAATCCGTCTCTCCCAATAGATAGGGACAGCCCACGGGTCCTCTGGTTCACACTTGGCGTTCCGCTCAGTCTCCTGTGTCAGAGTGGCCTGCTTGGCAGCGCGGCAGGCCAGGCAATCAATAATTTCTTTCTGCTTGCTCTCCAATCCTGGCTCTGTGTCCTAGTTCAGCACTTCAGCCGTCAGCACACCTTCTTCAATCTCCCTCCGCACTCTCCCTGCCGATGTCCCGGGCTTTGATAATTATATGCCCCCGCCCAAATGCTGCCTCTCCTGGGAAATGTAGTTCCAGTCATTCTGTTTAATAGCCAAGTCCTGCTGTTCAAAAATACAAGTTCCAGAGGGCTGTTCTGTCAATGTGAGTAACTGAATAGCAGGCCACCACAATCTAATGTCCACTTTAATGTATTGCAAGTAATAACATTTCAATGGGTTACATCAGTAACAGCATAGTTTTGTCCATATAACATTTTGAGGAAGAGGGGGTGTGCGAGTGGGGAATACATAGTGTCGGAAATTGGCTCAAGTGTAGCACTTTAAAGGATGCAGTCCACTTTCCAAATCTTCATTTAGGGCTTTCTTGACAGCTTTTATTTAAAAGAACATTCATAATACAAACAAGTTTCCCTTGCAGGTGTTATTCAGCTTTTCTCTGCTACAAGTATTCCGTCAGCCTCCTGGCTTATTGTCTTGTAACAATGCTGTGGCCCTCAGGTTTAGAGCCTCTATCTGTTCCTTCACAGACAATCTGCTACAACTCCTGTGCACACATGCATCTCTAACAGTTCCCTTGCAGCCACACGGTCCCTTTGGGAGGGTGGAACACTGAACTCTAGTCATCTTCTTTACAGAAACCCTACATGCACGTGCACAGTTAAGTGTGCTGGTTTCTGGCAAAACCTGGACCAAGGATTATTGACTTCATCTTCCATGTCTCTATGAAGTCTCCAGACTTTAGGACTCAACCCAGGGCTTACTAATCAAGACACTAAACAACCTGTTTGCCGTGAACAAAAAACGTATCCTGGAGCTCCTCGACCTATATAGATGAGACCAGGGGCGGACTGACAACTCATGGGGCCCCCGGGCAATAGGGGATCATGGGGCCCCTGTGTCCTTGCCCAAACTCAAAAAAGCCTATGAAAAAGGTACCAGGGGTATCTCATGGGGCCCCCTACTGACCCCGGGCCCTCGGGCAGTGCCCGAGTTTCCAAATGGTCAGTCCGCCCCTGGTGACAGCCTTTATGGTTGGCTACAAAGTGAACAGAATGTTTAGGCATGGCCTCACATTATATAGCCTTGGTAAATTTAATGGAGATTGTAACCTCTATGACAAGCTTTACTGATACTATGTTATTAAGATGTATCAGTATACTGTTGACTTTATCAGTTTTCTGCATCTGAAGCATGGCTTATTACTGACAAGTTAAATAATAGAACTAGTAGTTGGAATTGTGTTCACAGATTTTGGGTTGCTGGCATCAGTTTGAGATGCTTCTAAAATCATTTGACCTGCTTCAAGCTGATCTTGCATCTGTATGATAATGTAAAACCCATTTGCCCAAACTCAAAAAAGCCTATGAAAAAGGTACCAGGGGCATCTCATGGGGCCCCCTACTGACCCCGGGCCCTCCGTTTTTCTTTGTTTCTGTTATAAAAGTTTGCAAATAAATAATTGTTCTTCATAAATTTAGCCAAGATGTATTCTGCTACATGTCTTTGGTGAAAATAACCCAAATTAGGATGTATTTTTTAGTTTGTAGGAAGGTTATAGAGTTCACAAACTATGGTATAGATCTGAATATTGATCAATCCTGAAGTACTGACAGCCAATCTAATTTGTTGAGGTCCAAGAATGTCAGAACAGTACAGATATCCCCCAAATGACCCCTTTTTGCAAAGTAGACAGTCCGACGTACTTTGTAAGGGGCATGGCGAGTTATTTGAAGTTGTATTTTTTTTGTCATAATTTTTTGGAAAATGAAAAAATAAAAAAAATAATTTTCACTATTTTTTTTTACATACTGTCACCAGTGCAGCACAGCGTCATCATATAACTGGCATGGTGGTGATCAGGGACAATGACTGGTGACAGTATGAAAAAAATATATATATTTTTTATTTTTTTATTATTTTTAGTTTTTTATTACATTTTTTTTCTTTTTTTTAAGATTTTTTTTCATATTTCACTATGTCCAAAGTAGTACAATGTTACCATACTAACATTGTACTACTTTGGGGAAGTGATCAGTATTTTTTTTTTTTTTTTACACAATTTGCTTATAGCAAAGAATTACTACTTTGCTATAAGCAAGCATTTACCTGAATGACATCGATTCATTCAGGGTTTTTTTTTTTTGTGCTTAGCTGTGATTTGGCCACAGCTAATCACATGACATGTGCATGTAATCGCTGTGACCATTCACAGCTAGACACTAGTATACAATGGATGGCATGAATGAAGCCATCCATTGTATACAACTGTCATGTGACCTGATGTGATTGGTCACAGCAGGTGACATGGTACCGGCAACGGGGGGGCCGGTACTCAGATCTGTCATCAGCCGTGTCCCGAGGTTCCTCAAAGGTAAAAAAAAGTTTTAAAAAAAGCCCTGATCTAGTAACAGTGTAACAAGTGACTATTTGTAAGACTACCAAACACTGCATTTTTATGTAATTTTCAAAAAAAAAATTAATTTTTTCTGGAAAAAAAAAGACAAAAGTTTTTTTTCCCCCCATGACTTCAAAATTTCTGGAAATTTTACATCTCTAGTCATCACAATTATCTATAGCAGCCTTTCTTGACTAGAGTTTCTTTCAGAGATTGATAGGTTTCTCCTGAGCAAACAATTGAGGAATTCTTCCCACTTACCACCAATGTAAAGAGCATTAAACCCAAAACCAAAAATTAAATATATTGAGGCTTACCAATCATTAGACGTGGTGGCTGCATTGGTTTTCTTTTTTAAGCTCATTTCAACAATCCATGATTTTCAAAGTCATAAGGAGCTCAGTATTCAGGTGTAAACCCAAGGTCTATACAATAGAACCAGGTTTTATGGAATTATTCCCCTTTGTGATTTAAAGAAGCCACAGCATCCGCCATAGTTTTGATTTTGTTCACCTTACTGAGCCAGATGTTAATGGTGGGGAGTGGTCTGTTTCCAATATAATCAGATGTAGGCTTTAGCTGCATTCAAGAGATATATCAAGATTGTTTGTACGGTTTTGACAATAAGGGTGTGAGATGGAGGAGGAATGCTGCTGGGTTGTGTACTGCAATTTTTCGAGCAGACAAGAGTGGCTACGTTTACATACACAAGGGGACAAGAAGAATGAATTCCAGATGAAAGATGTATATGACATCGGTGACCAGTTCCTGGGAGGAGTAAATATTTTGGAGAATGTCCCACCATCTAATCAGCCTCTAATTGCCAGAGGCTAAGTTGTTGAAGATCCTTATAACATCTGACACTCACCATAAGCGTGATTGCCTATCAAGTTTAGATGGGCCATGATGTCTGGTAAGTGCCAGTGAGTTGGAGGAGGTTTTTCTCTGGAGCACATGGTGACACTTGAGTGAAGTTTCGTGCACTTAATTTAATTTGCTCACATGGTGACTTTAGTGGATTAGAAGGACTTTTTATTCAATAACACTTTAATTTCCACATTAGACTCACTTGCTGCTCTAACAACATGAAGCATAAAGCCGCGACCATTACAACCTTGGCAGACTGACGACACCAGAAATCTTAAAAACGACATAGCCGTGCGCTGGAGCGATTGTGGCGTAAAACCAAATCTCAACAAGCATTCACCCTATATAAATCTGCTTTCTTAACATACAATTCCTCCCTTCATGCTGCCAAACAAGCCTACTTTGTCACTCTTATTAATACCTTGTCATCCAGTCCTCGTAGTCTCTTCTCTACTTTTAACTCTCTACTTTCTCCACCTCCACCCAGTACCTCACTCACTGCTCACGAGATTGCAAATCATTTCAAAAACAAGATTGAGGCAATTCGTAGGGGCATTGCCACTGCACAGACATCCATCCCACTTAGCATACCTTATACTAAACCTCCCTCAACACTTTTTTCTTTTGACCTTGCTACTACCAAAGAGGTCACTAAGGTTTTCTCAGAAGCCCGTCTCACTACCTGCCCCCTGGATCCTGTCCCCTCACAACTACTACGGTCACCCTCTTCTTCCATCCTATGCTCCCTCACTCACATCTTCAATCTTTCCCTCTCTACTGGTGCCTTCCCCACCCCTCTAAAGCATGCACACATCACTCCCATACTTAAAAAGCCCTCCCTGGACCCCACCAATCTGAACAACTTAAGACCCATCTCCCTGCTGCCATTTACCTCTAAACTCCTAGAACGCTTAGTCTACAATCGCCTGAGCTCCCACCTCACTGACAACAACCTTCTTGACCCTCTACAGTCAGGCTTTCGCTCACTACACTCCACTGAAACTGCCCTACTAAAACTCACTAATGATCTACTAACAGCTAAAACCAATGGCTACTACTCCATACTACTACTCTCTGCAGCTTTTGATACAGTTGACCATCCCCTCCTCCTCAAAAAACTCCACTCACTTGGCCTCAGAGACTCTGTTCTCTCCTGGTTCTCCTCCTACCTATCGCAGCGCTCCTTCAGCATTACCTAAAACGCTGGCTCCTCCTTTTCACTCCCTCTTTCTGTAGGGGTCCCTCAAGGTTCTGTCCTTGGACCCCTTCTCTTCTCCATCTACACCTCCTCCCTTGGTCACTTGATAAACTCCCATGGCTTTAAGTACCATCTCTATGCTGATGACACACAAATCTATCTTTCTACTCCTCACCTCACCTCTTCAGTCTCCTCTTGCATTACTAACCTACCAAGTGACATATCGGCATGGATGTCATTCCACTTCCTCAAACTCAATCTTTCCAAAACTGAGCTCTTAGTATTCCCCCCAGCCCATGCCCCCTCCCCTGACTTCTCCATCAAGATCAATAACACAATCATCAGTCCCTCCCCTCATGTCAGGGTACTAGGTGTAATCCTAGACTCCCATCTGTCCTTTCAGTCCCAAATCCATTCACTGTCCAAATCTTGTAGACTTCACCTCCGCAACATCTCCAAGATACGCCCATTCCTAACCTCGGGAAACCACTAAGCAACTTATTCACTCCCTTGTTATATCTCGTCTTGACTATTGTATCTCCCTCCTCATTGGCCTACCGAATTGCAGGCTATCCCCTCTTCAGTCTATCACAAATGTTGCTGCCAGACTCATCCACCTTACTAACCGTTCTGTATCTGCCACCCCTCTCTGCCAATCCCTCCACTGGCTTCCCATTGCTCAATGGATAAAGTTCAAAACATTAACAATAACGTATAAAGCCATTTATAACTCTGCCCCATATTACATCACCAATCTTGTCTCTAAATATCACCCAAACTCTCGGCTCCTCGCAAGACCTCCTGCTCTCTAGCTCCCTTGTCTCCTCCTCCCATGCTCATCTCCAGGACTTCTCCAGAGCTTCCCCCATCCTCTGGAACTCTCTACCCCAATTTATCAGACTATCGCCTACTCTGCTCACTTTTAGGCAATCTCTGAAAACCTATCTCTTCAGGGAAGCCTATCCTGCCCTCAGCTAATAATGGAATCTTCTACTCTTCCAACCAGTCCATTCCCCAGAGTTACTAAACTTTTGTACCACTAGCCCCTCCCTCCTAGATTGTAAGCTCCAAGGAGCAGGGCCCTCCTATCCCTCTTGTATTGAACTGTATTGCTGCTGTATTGTCTCCCATTATATTGTAAAGCGCTGAGCAAACTGTTGGCGCTATATAAGTCCTATATAATAATAATTTGCTATTCACTCATTAAATTGCTAGGCAATTTAAAATTGGTTAACTCATTTTATTGGGGGGTGTGGTTTTGTGTGGTGAATATACTTTTGATATATTTAATTTATTCGTGTAACATTATATCTGCTAAAGGAGCATCCTAGATTACACGCTCGAAAAAGCAGGGCCCTTGAACCCCTCATGTTTTGTTTTGTTACTGTATTGTCTCATGTTCTGTCCCCCACTATAATGTACAGTGCTGAGCAAACCTTTTAGCGCTATATAAATGCTGTATAATTATTGCAAAAAAAAATAAAAATTTAAATACTATAGTCTAACAGTATGCAGGTAATAGGTCTAATCTTAATATTCACTATATGCATTTTTTTTTTTTTCACATGTAGCTAGGTGCTGGCATAAGAAAAAAACCGCTTGAGGAAAGTTGAACTGAATTGCACAAAACTGTAATCGTGGGACAAATCCCAGCATGTCCACTTGCTGTGATCCCATTGAGTTTGTATGCTTTTCCTTAATTGGTTAATGCTGGGCTGAGGAGGTGCTATTGAGAAGAGAACTATGGGAGGAATCGCTCCTCACTGAAAGGAACCACAGTTCCCAGGTGTCTGAGCAACCTGGTAGGAGGAAATGGGAGAGCCCTTGCTGACTACTGGGGGAAAATTAGGGCACTTGGTGCCAGAGTGGGGAAGGAAGCAGATGCCCTGAGCATAGTGCTGGATCTCCCTAGCACCTCCCTCCATCCCAGGCACCTCCGGCTCAGGCACAGGATTTTGTGAGAGGGTGTCAACCCATTGTGTACACTGTATATTAGAAACCGGCACTTTAAAACATCACAGTTCTACTCTCTGGAATCACCTAGTCTGCTCAGTCTATCCTTAGCACTACTGCCTTAAAGTGTTGCTAAAGGCAAACTTTTTTTCTAAATTACCATAACAAACATGTTACACTCACCAGCTCTGTGCAGTAGTATTGCACAGAGCAACCCCGACCCTCTTATTCTTAGGGTTCCTTGGCTGCGATCTTGGCACCTCCTCTTCATCGTATGTCTCCATTACAAGCGGCTTGCTATGGATGCACACAGTGTCTGCACGCTCCAGAGTTGTGTGTCTATGGAGCCGCACTCCATAGACTTACCCAGCGTACTTAGCTCCACCTCCCAGTTCCTCCTCACTGCATTGGATTGACTGCCAATGGCTCCTGCTGCTGCTCGAGTGCTGTGTGAAGAGGAAGAGAGGGGAGAGTAGATGCAGTCGTGAACAACACTGGATCTATTCTTCCCTCTCTTCCCCTTCAAACAGGGAAGGGGGGGGTAGAGAAATAAACAAAATTTTTTACCTTAATCTAATGAATGCATTAATTTAAAAACATTGTTAGCTTTGGTATGACTTGAACTCTCCAGAACTGCACCCAGGATCTATTTCCTCTTTTACACTTCATCTGAACTTATCAACTTTGCTTTTGATCTACTGAGAGCTAATCCCTTCAGATACTTCTGCTATAGCTTCTCTCCAGACTAAAAGTGCACAGAAATCACAGAGTTCCTTCACTTGTGCACCACCGTTAGGGCCCTAACAAAACTGGCAAAAGCAGGTATTGTGGGACTACCCTGCATGAATAGAATGTTTAGGATGATTCTTACAAATTTGTTGGCAAATCTGAAGCTCCCCAAACACGTTACACAATATCTTGGTAAACTCTCTTTTAAAAAAAACCACCAAGTAGGGTTTGCTTAATGGATACACATTTAATTGTTTAGGGAAGCCCTCATAACACATAGTTTTGGTATCTCTAAAGATTGTGCAGAGAATGTAAAATTAGACAGATCAAGGCATCAGTAAGCCCCGTCATAGTGCTGAAAGATTAATTATCTTGCCAGATTCTCTTTCATTTATCAGAGGTACACTGTTTGCATGTGTTGCAGGCAGCTTTCTATGAAGACACCTCCATATAGGAACTTATTGAAGCAGTGTCATAAAATACATATCTGCTTACTATGATATTGCGGCTGTACAGAGGACAGCAGGATTGTATTGTTTACAAGCTTTTATGGAGACAGGTTATAAAAACATACAAAGCATTCCAATGTAATTTCAAAAAAAGTCAAAAAGGTACTAGGGTTTGCGTTATAACCTGGTATTCATTTTGTTTTGTTCAGCATATAGTCACTTATAAGCAGCTGGGGTCATATAATCCTGTCATCTGTGAATGATTAGATGAGGGTTTGGACAGGTTGACAATTTAGCCTTTTCCACCTATAGCCAACATTTTTAAAGTAAAAATCCATTCTATGTCTACAAATGGGGACCTTTTAGGCCAAACCCCCCAAAGTCTCCAGTATGCAAAACACCGCTGCAGCAGCATCACACACAGAGAGACTACCTGGAAGGCAACAATACCACTTCAGGAAGATAGGCAGTGGATAACCATCTAAGCGTTGATAGTTAGCAGCTATCCTTTAGGTTACTTTTAAAGCGTAACACCACACAAAACAAAACATGTTTTAGCTGGCTGCACAGGAAGGAAAGTCACTCGCTGGCATCTTGCATAATCTGGGCAGTCCAGCAGTGAGTTCATCGATCTGCTACCCATGTCATTACAATGTTGAGCAAGCAGCTGCTTCCTTCATCCTGTGATGTCGAAGATTTGGAGAAGCCAAAGCACAATATCACCATACTTCTATTGCTAGTCATCTACTAAAGATATATGTTTTGCATAAAAACATCATATTATAAAAAAAAAAAAAAAATTATATACATACACATATAAATACACACACACACTCAGGGACCGACTGACAACTCATGGGGCCCCCGGGTAATAGGGGATCATGGGGCCCCTGTGTCCTTGCCCAAACTCAAAAAAGCCTATGAAAAAGGTACCAGGGACATCTCATGAGGCCCCCTACTGACCCTGGGCCCTTGGGCAGTGCACCAGTTTTCCAAATGGTCAGTCCGCCCCTGCACACACACACTATATATATATTATATATATATATATATATATATATAATATATATATATAATATATACATTTGCAAGAAAAAGTATGTGAACCCCTTGGGATTACGTGGAGTTTTGCATGAATTGGGCATAAAATGTGCTCTGACTAAGTCACAACAATAGAAGAACACAGTCTGCTGAACATAATACTACTACACAAACATTAGATGTTGCCATGGTTTAATTGCACATAACATGTAAACATTCACCAGTGCAGGGAGGAAAAAGTATGTGAGACCCTAGCTTAATGACTTCTCCCAGAGCTAATTGGAGCCAGGAGTGAGCCAACCTTGACTCCAATCAGTGTGATGATGTTGGATGTGTTGCTGACAGCTGTCCTGCCCTTAAAAAAACACACACCTGTTTTGGGTTTACTTTTTTCAGAAGTACTGTCTGATGTGAACCATGCCTCACAGAAAAGAGCTCTCAGAAGACCTACGATCAAGAATTGTTGACTTGCATGAAGCTGGAAAGGGTTACAAAAGTATCTCCAAAAGCCTTGATGTTCATGTGTCCATGGTAAGACAGACTGTCTACAAATGAAGAAAGTTTAGCACTGTTGCTACTCTCCATAGGCGTGGTCGTCCTGTAAAAATGACTGCAAGAGCACAGCGCAGAACGCTGCATGAGGTAAAGAAGAATCCCAGAGTGTCAGCTAAAGACCTACAGAAATCTCTGGCACATGCATTTTTGTTGACACATCTACAATAAGGAAAACATTAAACAAGAATGGAGTACATGGGAGGACACCACGGAGGAAGCCATTGCTGTCCAAAAAGAATATTGCAGCACGTTTGAAGTTTGCAAAAGAGCACCTGGATGTTCCCACAGCACTACTGGCAAAATATACTGTGGACAGATGAAACCAAGATTGAGTTGTTTGGGAAGAACACACAACATATGTGTGGAGAAAAAAAGGCACAGCACACCAACATCAAAACTCATCCCCACTGTAAAACATGGAGGAGGGAGCATCATGGTTTGGGGCTGCTTTGCTGCCTCAGGGCCTGGACGGATTGTTGTCATTGATGGGAAATGAATTCCAGAGTTTATCAAGACATTTTGCAGGAAAACGTACGACCATCTGTCCGCCAACTGAAGCTCTGCAGAGGATGGGTGATGCAACAGGACAATGACCCAAAGCATACAAGTAATTCAACAAAAAACAATGGCTACAACAGCACAGAATACGCCTTCTGGAGTGGCCCAGTCAGAGTCCTGACCTCAACCCGATTGAAATGCTGTGGCATGACCTTAAGAGAGCGATTCACACCAGACATCCCAAGAATATTGCTACACTGAAACAGTTTTGTGAAGAGGAGTGGTCCAAAATTACTCCAGATCGATGTGCAGGTCTGATCTGTAACTACAGGAAACGTTTGGTTGAGGTTATTGCTGCCAAAGGAGGGTCAACCAGTTATTAAGTCCAAAGGTTCACATACTTTTTCCTCCCTGCACTGTGAATGTTTACATGTTATGTGCAATTAAACCATGGCAACATCTAATGTTTGTGTAGTATTATGTTCAGCAGACTGTGTTCTTCTATTGTTGTGACTTAGATGACGTTCAGAGCACATTTTATGCCCAATTCATGCAAAACTCCACGTAATCCCAAGGGGTTCACATACTTTTTCTTGCAACTGTATATAGATATATATAGACAGATATATATATACACATATACATACACACACAATATTGCCAAAAGTATTGGGACACCCTTCTAAATCATTGGATTCAGATATTCCAATCACTTCCATGGTCACAGGTGTATAAAATCAAGCGCCTAGGCAAGGGTGAGTTGATAAAAGAAGGCCACGCCTCCGAAACACATTGCAACCATGACGTGGTCCTGACGTGGGTTCCTGTTGTTGTCATCATTCTCCTTCCCTCATACCCACTAGTTAGCAACGTAGTGCCGAGCCGGCTGGACCGGACGCGTGCACAGTGGTCTGTCACCGCGCTTCCAGTGCAGTCCTTGGTTGATTGTGGCAGACAGCAGACCATCCAGAGGCCCCGGATCTTACAGGGACCACGCGGCGCATCACTCTATATGCAGACATGTTCTATACCATTTGGAAAATGTGAGTGCAATCTGAAAACTTTTTATGATATATTGTAAAGCGCTGAGCAAACTGTTGGTGCTATATAAATCCTGTATAATAATAATCATAATATAGGGGTATTACACTATGGTGATCATTCGCTCTCTCTCTTTGTATGTTTTACGTCATCTCTTCCCCCCCGCCCCTTGCCGTAGAGATAACAGAGAGCTGCAGCACCCCAGGAGAAAAAAAAAAAAAATAAGGATAAGAGATAAATTACTTGGACATTGAATCTATGACGTTCTCCGTCCATCATAATACTACAGTAGCCAGCACATTAGCTAGTTTATCATTTTTTTTTGTTTACATCCTTCAGAAGTTACCTTATTAGTAAATAGAGTCCACCTGTGTGTAATTTAATCGCAGTATAAATACAGCTGTTATGTGAAGCCCTCAGAGGTTTGTTAACTACTTACCCTCCAGAGGATTTACCCTCCTTCCTGACCAGGCCATTTTTTGCTTTAAGGCGCTGCTTTACTTTAACTGACAATTGCGTGGTCATGCAACGCTGCACCCAAATGAAATTTATGTCCTTTTTTCCCCACAAATTGAGCTTTGCGCTATACAAAATAAAAATATGACCGACAATTTTGAGAAAAAAAAACAATATTTTGGAATTTTTGCTATTAAAAACAAGTCCAGTGGAAAAATGTAAAAATGGAATTTTGTCATAAATTTAGGCCAAAATGTATTCTGAGACGTCTTTCCTAAAAAAAATCCCAATACATGCAAATTAATTGGTTTAAGTGAAAGTTATAGCGTTTACAAATGGCGGTATAGATACTGGGGTTTTTTTTTCTTCTACTAGTAATAGAGGCGATCAGTGACTTTTAGCGGGACTGCGGCGGACATTCTGACACTGGGGGGGGGAACTAACTTGGTGTCACTGACAGTGATCAGTGCTAAAAAAAAGCACTGACACTACTGGCAGGAAGGGGTTAACATGAGGTGATCAAAGTGTTAACTATATGTATGTCGTTTTTTTACTAGGAGGCGGGGGTGTGTGTGCTTCATTGTAAGCACACTGATCGGGATAGCACAGCCATTCCGAGCAGTGTGCCCGAGCTGACAGGGAGGAGACTGATTGTAAACAAAACAAACAGTCTTCCTCCCCATTAAAGATGCTCGGTAATCACCGGGCGCCGGCGGGTAATTACCAACTGGGGCCCGTGATTGACAACTGCGGCCGCTAATGGCAGCGCGGGTAGGGCACGTGCGCCCCCTACTCGGGTATACAAAATCAAGTGTATATACACGTGATTTTGCACACCCGTGCTCTCCTGTAGCAGTATTTCTGCTATAGGGCGGTCGGGAAGCGGTTAAAGAACATTAGTTAACTAGCTGCCGACCGCAGATAGCCGAATTACGGCTGCACCAGGGGGCGCGCACCCGGCGATCTCTGTGATCGCTGTGTCCTACGGACACAGCTGATCACGTGATCTGGTAAAAGGCCAATCACAGCGGCCTTTTACCACGTGATCAGCGGTGTCCAATGACACGCTGATCAGAGGGAATTGCAAGTGCCGGTTCTCGGCTGCACTTTCCTCACGCTGTCAGATCGTGAGGAAAGTACTGCCGAGAACCGGCAGTTGTCAGAGCGGGGATCGGCACCGATCATCAGGGCACTGATGATCAGTGCCCTGATGATCGGTGCTCAGCAGTGCCACCCGCAAGTTCCACCCACCTGTGCCCAGCAGTGCGCCCACTAGCTCCGCCCACCTGTGCCCGGCAGATCACCCACCTGTGCCCAGCAGTGCACCCACCTGTGCCACTCTGTAGTGTCACACACCTGTGCCCAGAAGTGCCACCTACCTGTGCCCAGCAGTGCCACCCACCTGTGCCCAGCAGTGCCACCCACCTGTGCCCAGCAGTGCCACCCACCTGTGCCCACCCACCTGTGCCCACCAGTGCCACCCACCTGTGCCCACCCACCAGTGCTGCCCACCAGTGCCGCCCACCAGTGCAGCCCAGCAGTGCTGCCAGTCAGTGCCACCAGTCAGTGCCCAGGGGTTGTGCCAGTCAGTGCCGCCAGTCAGTGCCCAGCAGTGATGCCAGTCAGTGCCGTCTATCAGTACCCATCATCAGTGTCACCTATCAGTGCCGCCTGTCAGTGCTGCATATTAGTGCCGCCTATCCGTGACACCTGCCTATGTGTGTGAGTACTGCCTATCAGTGCCCTTTAGTGCTGCCTCATCAACGTACATCAGTGAAGGAGAGAAAATACCTGTTTGAAAAATTTTATAATAGAAACAAAGAAACTTTTTTTTTTTTAAATTTTTTGCATTTTTTTATTTATAGCGCAAAAAGTAAAGAGCCCAGCGGCGATTAAATACCACCAAAAGAAAGCTCTATTTGTGAGAAAAAAATGATCAAAATTTCATATGGGTACAATGTTGCATGACCGCGCAATGGTCAAAGTGCGGCAGCACTGAAAGCTGAAAATTGGCCTGGTAAATAAGGGGGTATAAGTGCCTGGTAGGCAAGTGGTTAAACAGCATCATGAAAGCCAGACAGGTCAGGTATAAAGTTGTGGAGAAGTTTAAGGCAGGGTTAGGTTATATAAAAATATCCCAAGCTTTGAACATCTCACAGAGCACTGTTCAATCCATCATCTGAAAATGGAAAGAGTATGACACAACTGCAAACCTACTAAGACATGGCCGTCCCCCAAAACTGACAGGCCAGGTAAGGAGAGCATTAATCAGAGAAGCAACCAAGAGGCCCATGGTAACTCCGCAGGAGCTGCAAAGATTCACAGCTCAGGTGGGAGAATCTGTCCACAAGACAATTATTAGTCTTGCACTTTACAAACCTGGCCTTCATGGAAGTGTGGCAAGAAGAAAACCATTGTTGTAAGAAAGCCATAAGAAGTCCCGTTTGCAGTTTGTGGAAAGCCATGCGGAGGACACAGCAAGCGTGGAACAAGGTGCTCTGGTCAGATGAGGCCAAAACTTAAATTTTTCGGGCTAAAAGTAAAACGCTATGTGTGGCGGAAAACTAACTGCACAACACCCTGAACACACCATCCCCACCGTGAAACGTGGTGGCAGTATCATGTTGTGGGGATGCTTTTCTTCAGCAGGAACAGGTAAGCTGGTCAGAGCCAAATACAGGGCAATCTTAGAAGAAAACCTGTTAGAGTCTGCAAAAGACCTGAGACAACTGATTACCGAGTATCACTGATGGGGAGAGGTCTGTATGTAAACAATACAGATTTCTCCCTTGTCAGCTCCTGCACACTGCTTTGTATTGCTCTGCATAGCAGAGCAATACAAAACAATGTGCATACACAGTGAAACACACACACAGCACACAGTAAAACACACACAGTTAATGCTTTGATCACCCCAGATGTTAACTCCTTCCTGCTCAGTGTCATTAGTACAGTGGCAGGGCTTTTTATTAGCACTGATAACTGTATAAGTGTCATGGGGGATGTCAGTGACAGTTAGTTCCCCCCAGTGTCAGAATGCCTGCCACAGTCCTGCAATAAGTCGCTGATTGCTGCCATTACTAGTTTTAAAAAAAAAAATTCAATATATATACCGCCATTTTTAAACACTATAACTTTCACGTAAAACAATTTACACGTATTGGGATTTTTTTTTAGCATAGATGTAGCAGAATACATTTTGGCCTAAATTTACAACGAAATTTGATTTTTTACATTTTTTTACTGGACATGTTTAATAGCAAAAAGTCAAAAATATATTTTTTTTTCTTCCTCAAAATTGTCGGTCTTTTTATTTATAGTGCAAAAAATTAAAACCACAGAGGCAATCAAATACAGAGAGAAAGCTCCATTTGTGGGAAAAAAAGGACAATGTGGGTGCAGTGTTGCATGACCGCGCAATTGTCAGTTAAAGTAACGCAGCACCGTATCACAAAAAATGGCCTGTTCATGAGGGGGGAGGGGGTAAATTCTCTGGAGGGCAAGTGAATAAAAGATTTTATTCTTTATTGTATTCTCTAGACAATTCCAGGAATTGCACATAGTGCTGGGTGCTTGCCAAGGCACTTGAGGTGTTCATGCAAGATCTTCTATTTGCATTTTGATTCAAATAGATGCTTATGTGTGGAACAGTCCATTGTCATAATGGCTTAAATAAATGACCACATGTACGATTATAATTCTCTTATGAAAATATACAGTCCAGCTGGGCTAACAGTAGAAATATTGAAGGATTGTACTCTGGTGAGATTTGTCACTACTTTGTGTGTTCTACATTAGAGTGTCTGACTGAATGACTGAAAGACTCTGTACATGTATGGGTTAACCACTTTTTTTGCCACTTACATTATTAAGCATGTCATGCACAACTCAAATTTTAGTCAACTCCTGCTTCACTTGCCAAAGTAGCGGGCGGCCCTGTCGGCACCAACCAGCACCATAAACTTCAACTGAAAGATGCAGTCACTGTTTGGGTACTCAGACAGCCACAGATGCTGGCTCTCTGAATACAACAGTAGACAGGGAGATTTCTCTATCCATGCTCTTTAGCATGAATTAATAAATCTAACATATACATAGCTAGCCTTTTGGTACTTTAACCCTTTTGCTGCCAAGTCCATACATAGTACAAACCTGACAGCTGCATTACATTTAGTGTAGCACAGGGGAGAGATCCAGGGTCTTTTAGACCCTGGATGTCTCAATGAACAGAACCTGTCACCGATAAATCATCACATAGCAGACTTTTTGTCCCGTGTGATAAAAAAAAAAAGTTAAGTAAAAAAAAGTTTTTTTAACCATTTGCCGCCCGGCCAAAAGTTAAGTAAAAAAAAGTTTTTTTAACCATTTGCCGCCTATGGTAACATTGTACTACTTTGGTCATAGTAAAATATGAAAAAATCTTAAAAAAAAGTAATAAAAAATTAAAAATAATAAAAAAATTTAAAAAAAATTTAAAAAAAAATATTTTTTTTTTCATACTGTCACCAGTCAGTGTCCCTGTTCACCGCCATGCCAGTTATATGATGACTCTGTACTGCACTGGTGACTGTATGTAAAAAAAAAAAAATAGTGAAAATAACTTTTTTAATTTTTTCATTTTCCGAAAAATGACAAAAAAAAATACAACTTCAAAAAACTCGCCATGCCTCTTATGAAGTACGTCGGACTGTCTACTCTGCAAAAAGGGGTCATTTGGGGATATCTGTACTATTCTGACATTCTTGGACCTCAAGAAATTAGATTGGCCGTCAGTACTTCAGGATTGATCAATATTCAGATCTATACCATAGTTTGTGAACTCTATAACTTTCCTACAAACTAAATAATACATCCTAATTTGGGTTATTTTCACCAAAGACATGTAGTAGAGTACATCTCGGCCTAAATTTATGAAGAACAATTATTTATTTGTAAACTTTTATATAACAGAAACAAAGAAAAATGTGTTTTTTTTTTCAAAATTTTGGGTCTTTTTTTGTTAATTTAGCAAAAAATAAAAACCCCAGTGGTGATTAAATACCACCTAAAGAAAGCTCTAGTTGTGTGAAGAAAATGATAAACTTTTAGCTTGGGTACAATGTTGTATGACCGCGCAATTGTCATTCAAAGTGTGAAAGCGCTGAAACCTGAAAAATGGCCTGGGAGGGAAGGTGTAAAATTGCACGGTATTGAAATGGTTAAATTGTAAAAAAATAACAATCCCCCCCAATTTTTTTGCAGCCCCCCCACATATATACACACATATGAACGTAAAACACACGTGTTGGGGGCTCCTATGCATGTAAATGTTGATTGAGATACTATATACATGCAGTGTTACATATCACCATGCATGCCGGAGTGAGAGCACCAGACCACCTCCATAAACAGATGACCTACTGGGGGCTTTTAAAGCGACACCATTGGAAAATATATGGTACTGAAATTTGCCGCCATTTCATGGGCGCACACATATTTAGGGTTTGACATATCTATTTACTCGATGCAACCTCATCTCATATTTTATCAAAAAGTTGGGTAATTTATTGCCTCTGTGAACCCTAAAATTAACTTTTATTTAACATTTTTACTGAATTTTGAGTTTCCTAAAATTGGAAGTACACTATTTTATTCTCTAGGATGTCTGCTTTTAGAAAATATATATTTTGGGGGTTTTATGTAATCTTCAGGCCTAAATATTTTTTTAAACGTGTGCACAAAAACAACGCTGGCAGCAAAAAGGATTAAAGTGCTAAAGTGGCATATAGTGTACAACAGCCATTGGGTTATATTAGTATGCACTTTATTTTGTCTGTAGTAGTTCAGGAGTGTATATTTGAATGTTACGTGCAGAATGGAAGTAAGGGGGAGCCTGTCTTAAGGGCCCCCCCTTCTTCTCCTCCTCAGGCACCTGGGTGGTCAGAGGTCTGGTCACACCTGGTCCAGCTGTGGGAAATCTGCCTAGCAACATTCCCTGTCAGGTGGCACAGGTGTGATCTGCCCAGAGACAGGATAGGTCAGCTAACCCTGGGGAACATTCTGGAAGGTCACATGACCTGTAGGCTAGGGTCAGCTGACCTTTTGGAACCTTCTAGAAAGGGCTTAACCCTTTATAAAAAAGGGCTCTATGAGGGGCTCTGAGCCAGTCCCTATATCCCTGTGTGACAGCTCTCCTCCCCCCTCCCTTGTCACAGCCAGATTATTATGTGGTTTTGGTCACCTATCTACTAAGGGGGACAGTTTATTTAAATGTCTTTGGATATATTTTTAACCCGAGTCGTAGTGGCTGGATTGCTCTCAATGGTTGATGTTAAAGTACCGTATTTTTCGCTCCATAAGACACACTTTTTCCACAAAAAAATGGGGGGAAATGTCTGTACATCTTATGGAGTGAATATTGACCAGACCGACCAGACCTACCTCCTTCCCCAGTCGCTGCCACTGTGTTAGAATACCAGGCCGGCCGCTTGGCTCTTCTGTGGCAGGAAAGAGGAAGAGTCCAAGTCAGCAGTACAGTAGCGGCAGGCAGTGCCCAAAGCAGTTGCCCCTTAACCCCGCACCGCCCTTAGATTGGGGCCCCGATCACTGCACTGCAGAGCTGACAGGGTGCACTGAAGACATCGTTGTATCCCCAGCCAGCAGTGAGGGGGGGGGGGCAGGTCCAGGAGCTCCACTGACCCTGTCCCATGCAGCCTGTATGCTCAGAAGGGAACTGCTAGTAGAAGAGGAGATGTGAGTGGGAGCCCCGCCCTCAGAGAGGATGCTGAGCCCAACTGGCCAGGTATTTCCCCCCCCCCATAGACTGCCTGTGGACTGCTATACCAAACTGTATAAATGTGCATTGCTGAAAGGTCTCTGGTCATCTCCTGTAGTACATCCGCAGTCTCTGGTCATCCCCTGTACTATGTCCGCAGTCTCTGGCCATCCCCTGTACTGTGTCCGCAGTCTCTGGCCATCTCCTGTACTGTGTCCGCAGTCTCTGGCCATCTCCTGTACTGTGTCCGCAGTCTCTGGCCATCTCCTGTACTGTGTCCGCAGTCTCTGGCCATCTCCTGTACTGTGTCCGCAGTCTCTACTGGCCATCTCCTGTACTGTGTCCGCAGTCTCTCCGGCCATCCCCTGTACTGTGTCCGCAGTCTCTGGTCATCCCGTGTACTGTGTCCGCAGTCTCTGGTCATCCCGTGTACTGTGTCCGCAGTCTCTGGTCATCCCGTGTACTGTGTCCGCAGTCTCTGGTCATCTTCTGTACTGTGTCCGCAGTCTCTGGTCATCTCCTGTACTGTGTCCGCAGTCTCTGGTCATCCCCTGTACTGTGTCCGCAGTCTCTGGTCATCCCCTGTACTGTGTCCGCAGTCTCTGGTCATCCCCTGTACTGTGTCCGCAGTCTCTGGTCATCCCCTGTACTGTGTCCGCAGTCTCTGTCTCTGATCATCCCCTGTACTATGTCCGCAGTTTCTGGTCATCTCCTGTACTATGTCCGCAGTCTCTGGTCATCCCCTGTACTATGTACGGAGTCTCTGGTCATCCCCTGTACTATGTCCGCAGTCTCTGGTCATCTCCTGTACTATGTCCGCAGTTTTTGGTCATCTCCTGTACTATGTCTGCAGTCTCTTGTCATCCCCTGTACTATGTCCGCAGTCTCTGGTCATCCCCTGTACTATGTCCGCAGTCTCTGGTCATCCCCTGTACTATGTCCACAGTCTCCTTGGTTCAGAATATTTTTTTTCTTGTTTTCCTCCTCTAAAACCTAGTTGTGTCTTATGAAGCGATAAATACGGTAAGTTTAAATGGTTATTGATAATGTGATGCAAGTTATTTACATATTTCATACCAGTAATAAAGAGGCAGCGGGCAATTAACTTCCAGTGCTGTTGTTGTGTTGATTCATTTCTGAACATGATGGCTACAATCCCATTACTTTAGATGAAAAGCAATAGAGATATTATGTTTTACTAACTTTGTACTTGAAACTTAAATCCTATGGAACAATATCACTCCTAAGTTGGCCATACATGGGTCAGTTTTTTTTCATTCAGCCAGTTCGTTGAGCAAAAAAAAAAAAAAGAAAACTGACCCAATTCCCCCATCCACACATTCGATGCGGATGCAGAAATCCCCCACTGACAGTGGGACTCCCCTGCCATCGGAATTCACTTTTCAGCACAGGACCATGCATGAACAGGCCGAATTTCAATCCATGCATGGCCAGCTTTAGGCTTATTACACATGTTACAATCTGATCGTAGAACCTCCTTTAGATCTACCAACAACTACTGTATGTAGAAAAAAACCCTAACCAGAAAAACAAATGCGGCTTTAGAAGTACCAAACCATACCAATAAAAGTGAATTGAACAAATATAGGAACAGTAGATAAAATTGCACACCTTTAATTAGGTTAAAATAACCACCCATAGGTGGAGCATATTCATCAGACAGAGACATAGAAAACCATAAAAATAAAATACAGAAAGTGAGACTCGGCTATTGTAGGTTGTTGCTGATGTCCTAGATGCAGACGGCGTCACGGGTATCAGCCGTAAAAAAGCAGTAGCCATAGCGTTAGAGCAAATAGGCTAAACTGTACAAATAGTGGATAAGATGGTACATGGCTATCAATGGAAACAGATAATTGTATTAATATTGATATAAGACACCTAACCAGACAGTATCATAGGTGTTGATGAACGAACATGTAGTTTCCACTTGAAACCATGAGAAGGTACTTTGTTTTGGGATTCCAATGCATTTCGTGGGACAGAGCCCACTTCTTCAGGGGAAAAAAATAAAACAAATTCCAGTTGATGATACCAACACAATGTCAGATAGCTCCTGCCAGATAGTTCCTGCCAGATATGGGTCAATCGTATCTGGATGGACAGAGGGGGTCATCCAACAACCATAAATAATGATCATCAATCAAGAAAGAATCCAAGTCCACGAAGACTTGTAAAAAACAAGGACAACACAGGGGGAAGAGGGTTTGAGGTTTTTCCCTCCCCCTCCTTCCATAAGGAACTTTTCTCCACTGATGGAAAGTAATCTGAGCCCTACTATACTTGGTGGTCTGTAGCATTTGGCCAATAGATATCTGATTGCATGAATGATGATTCTGTTTTTTTTTTTTACAAGTCTTCAAGTGGACTTGGATTCTTTCTTGATCAATTATCATTATTTATGGTTGTTTTGTCCATCCAGATACGATTGACCCATATCTTGCAGGAGCTATCTGGGATTGTGCTGGTGTCATCAACTGGAATTTATGTTTTGTTTTGTTCCCTAAAGAAATGGTTCCTGTCCCACGAAACACGTTGGAATCCCAAAACAAAGTACCTTTTCATGGTTTCAAGTAGAAACTACGTTTATTCATTCATCAACACCTATGTTGCTATCTGGTAAGGTGTTTTATATCAACTATAATACAATTATCTGTTTCCATTGATAGCCATGTACCATCTTATCCACTATTTGTACAGCTTAGCCTATTTGCTCTAACCTATGGCTGCTGTTTTTTGCGGCCGATACCCATGACACCGTCTGTGTCTAGGACATCAGCAACAACATACTGTGGCCGGGTCTCACTTTCTGCATTTTATTTTTATGGTTTTCTATGTGTGATGAATATGCTCCACCTATGGGTGGTTTTTTTTTTTAACCTAATAAAAAGGTGTTCAATTTTATTTACTGTTCCTATATTTGTTCAATTCACTTTTATTCGTATGGTTTGTTACCTTTAAAGCCCCATTAGTTTTTATGGTTAGGGTTTTTTTCAACATATTTTCCTTAGGGGTGTGGTACCGGTAAAACCATGGTTACAAGGTCAAGGACAGTCACTTTCTTTCCATCTCCCAGTCCTTTAATATTAACTACTGTATGTAGTCCAAGGGCCTGCCTGATTGGATAAAAAAATGATTGGATAAATTAGGTAGGCTTTGCTAAATCTAAAGTGTATTGTACAAAAATGTCTTTACACTCGATTTTTCAAGTACAGTGTAGTTGATGTATAACTTGCAATGATGATAAAAGTAGGAAAAGTGACTGTATTATTATTATCCCTACTGCAAAGCAATAAAAACCTGACAGAGCTTTCAGGCAGGCAGGGTATTCATCAGCCTCATTTCAAAAACATTTAGTCACAATGTATCTATTTGTTGCCTAGCAAGTATACAAAGTTTTGAAGTCCATCAAGACAGTATGTTTGCTATGAACGGTTTTAGGTACAAGCCCTGATAAAGCCTGCCTGTTCCTTCTCTAAGATATGATATGACCTGTGGGTTTGGCTGTAATTCTGTTTAAACAACATTGTAATCTACAACAGATAAAGATTTTAATTTAGCTAATAGAGACAGTGGGAGTCTGACATACAGAGACAGAACTACGCTAAAATACAAAATACTATTCCAGACACTAAATATATATTAAGAAAAATACCTTAATATATCCTAATTTATATCATATATATTAGGAAAAATACCTTAATATATCCTAATATATTATAATATATCGTAATGTATATATTATATATTAGGAAAAATACCTTTGATGTACATAGTTATTTTTCCTGGTTTTATCATCAGGTTTTTTCCTGATAAAGGATTAATAGTGCTAAGGATGCCGGACAATTCACAGATTGAATCAGAGCTATTCTCTCCCATACTATTCGATCACATACCAATCCAAGCCATTATAAAACTAATAAACTAAGTGAGGTAATTCTATATTGACTTTGGGCTCTAGGAACGGTTTGGTCAGCGCTAATTTGCGTTATGACACTGCAGCAGCAGATAAAGAAGTGCTTTTTGTATGATGGTACAGACTGAACAACAGTTGGTATTTAAGTCCGTACTTAAAGAGATGGGTGCAAAGTACCACTGCCTGGGTTGTGAAGAATTGCAAGCACAGACATGCACAGCTGTGGCAGGCATGCTGGGACTTGTAGTTCCACAGCAGATGACGGCAGGAGCTAGCAGAACATGCTAATTGTAGTGGTTCGACAACTTACATTCTGAAGATTGCCGACTGTATTCAAAAAGTAAACAAAGGGAATGCTTCAAAAAATTGCAGCTGTGTTTGAATGTAACAATGTGTAAAAACACAATAAGCATTAGCAATACAAAATGCACTGACCTTACTCTAGGTATTTGGGGTCCAGTATTAGGGTCCAGTGGTCTTTTCCAGTGCCATGTGAGTGTTCCAGGGAGAGGGTGTCAGGCTGAGCATAGATTGGGTGCTGGGAGGAGCTGCCTGTCTGTGGGATACTTCCTCTTGTGCATTCCACAGTGCAAGAGTATCAACCCATTTCCTGAGAGTCTCGTGACAGGGAGAGGCATAAAAAAAAGTAGACGCACCTGTATGGCAAGATCAATACATCTAATGCTACGCAGGACAATGCTGTACTGACTGGCATTTCACACAAGAAATAAGAGTCATATGAATATAAAGTATAGTAAAAGGCACTCAATGCTGTGTCTGATTTAAGAAAAGGGGAATGAAAAAATTATAGCAGTGCTTTATAAAGGGGATCACTGTAGTCCTGCCACATCCAGCTAAATGGGTGAATTCCCCAACTACGAGACTCGACTGCAGAACTTACAATTTACACTTCATGCACACAGGCGTATAAAAATAAACAGCAATTTTGTGCTGTGAGAATTTGGCAGAAAAAAACCCTCTAACGTTCAAATACGTAAGTGTTTTTTTTCCGCATATGACGTTTTAAGAATAAATGCATTCTACTGGCGAGAATAATAATTATTCTGGCCATTGGAATACATTTATGTGCATTTATATGTGTTTTTTCTGCTCAAAAGCTTAAGCATGCGCCTTTGATATGTTTTTGGTTTTTTTTTTTGCCTGTAAATGCTCACCTTCAAATATGCCTGTAAATGCTTATATGTGCATTGCCACACAGGCTAACAGAGATGCTTTTACAAGCATTAAACCTGTTGAATGCCTGTATAAGGGGAGGTTTTTAAAGGCAAATTTGTCTTTATTACATTTTCAACAGTTTAACAATACATGGCATGAAGGCAAAATGAAAACAGGTACAAGTGGACATACATAAGAAAAGCCATCGCACAAATGTGACAATGATTCATGTAAATAGGTGAAAATAGTTCCATTAAAAAAAAGAAAAATGTAAGGATCAATAACATAATGGCATGTAGTTCGGAGATATGAATAAATATAGTGTCGAGGAGGGCATCCACGACGAGATGTAGGAGACACAATGAGCTAGTTCCGTATAAACTTGAATATGAATCTGAATTCAAAGGAAAACAAAACAAAAAAAGGGGGGGGGGGAAGAAAATAGAAGGAGAAGAGAAAAAAGAAGTCAGTTGGAGAGATAAAGAACGATAAGAAGAGAGGGGGATTGGGAGACGGGAATTGCAAAAAGCAGGAACGAGGCTATCTTCTTCCAGGATCCCCTCGGGATGACCCCACCAGCCACATCTGAGGTGAGCCGCGGGGCCAAACCGGTGGACCCCCCGGAAAAAGTGGAAAGGGGAGGTTTTTAAGCAGACCTCAAACAGTGTATTCAGTATGTTACCTTGGAGAAAATGTGACTGTTTAGGTTCACACATGCGGGTTGGGAAAGGTGTGCGACCCACAGGCAACATGTGTTTCTCTTTAGCAGACATGTAGGGTGCTGTTATTCTTATCCGCTTCCCATATGCCCTATAGCAGAAATAGTGCTACAGGGGGGCATGGGCACGCAAAATCACATAACATTCGCAGCGTCGGCTGTCAATCACCGGGTCCCA